ATGGGGTCATACCAGAGTGGGGTGAGCCCTACATCCAATATGACTGATGTCCTTACAAGAGACGAGACTTGGCCACTCAAGGGAAGAGGCCATGTGAGACAGAGGCAGAGATCGAGTGCTCTTTCTGCAAGGATTCCGAAGCTGGCTGGCAACCCCCAGAAGCTCAAAAGTGGCAAAAAAGGAGCCTCCACTAAAATCTTCAGAGAAAAGAGCAAGTTCCTGTGGCAGCCCCTGTGGACTTCAGACTTCTGACCTCCAGAACTATGAAAGAATAAGTTTCTCCTGTTTTAACCCTTCAAGTTTCTGGCACATTTTTACAGCAGCTCTAGAAAGCAGACAGAGTACATCTCCACTTAAGAAAATGAATCAACACAGAATGTCAAGTTGAACACCACGCTGGATTACCGGGCAATTGGCCAGGGAAGCAGCAAAAAGTAGAAGGACCTCTTCCTCTCCCGCCAGCTCCTGCTCTCTCCTTGTATAGGCCAAACCAATGGGCTAGCTGGATCTGGTATTCCCTAGTACTTTATTTCAGGATGGTGCACTCTACTTCCATCTGGGGTTTACTGCACAACAGAACAGCCTTGGGCACGAAATTTAATCTTATGAATTTAATTTAAACTAAGCTTAGATGTATAAATGTGCTAATGGCTCTTTTCTGCCAAGGATTTTGAGACTTGTGGATTCATAATGTCTAACACGGATGCCAAAATCATTATAAAGTCATATTTACAGTTGTTAGAATGTAATGTAGCTCATTACACAATAAATATGTGGATCACAAAACCTATTTCTCACTTGTATATCTTTTTTACTTTTTCTGCTAAAGTTTTTTAATCCCACAGATTATTGGCAACTTATCCCAGTTTTTACAATTATCTGTTAGATGAGGCCAAAATAAAGATCTAAATTTTTTTTAATGACCAATTTGTGGTCTGCTCATAATTTCTTAAACTCTTACTACATGTGAGCAGGCACTTAGCCTGGTAATGGAGACACTCTCATTCCATGTTGGAGCCCCAGGGTTCCATGCCTAGTTCTGGCTCCTCACTCTAGCACTCTTCTAATGCAGACCCTCGGAGGCAGCAAATGATGACCCAAGCAACTGGGAGACCCACTTGGGAGACCTGGATTGAATTCCAGATCCCTGCTTAAGCCTAGTCCAGCCCTCGCCATTGCAGGCATTTGAGGAGTGAGCCAGCAGATGGGAGCTCGCTCCCTGTCTCTCTGCCTCTCAAATAAAAATTTTAAAACCCATCACATAGTTCTTCTAATATATACAAAATGGTATGGCAAATTTTAGATATATTTTCAGCCATTTATTCCTTTGCAGAATAATTATACTGATAAAATCTAAATACTGCTTCACAGTTTGAAACAGTTTAGAAATGTTCAGTGTCCCTAAAAAATTCCCTTAAGTAAGCAGTACATTATTCTCAACTTCTAAGATGAGGAAACAGAAACTGGTTTTTATTATCCTATTCATTTATTCAGCAAGAATTAATCACCTGCATGGTCCAGGTTCTGTGCTAGGGAAAGAAAGAGAAATGTACAATTTATTGAATCAGTGTAACCGGTGAAAAAATATTTGTAAGAACTGGATATTTCATTTTTAACAGTAGAGTCGTCAGCGGTCTACCATGTTTTCTAAAACTGCCTAAGATGTCAGTTTTTACAGTCATGAAAATGAGAGGTTCATCTTCTCGGAACACTTGCTACTTGTGCTGGCTATTGTGATGTATTCTAAGCTCAAACATTATCTACACATTTTGGGGATGATAACTGAGTTCATATTGTTTCTTTAACCATATTATACAGTCATAGGAAATGAACTACAATGTGAAGTGTAACAAAGAATCTCAGAAGTTTTTATATTTTCTACTAGACATCTGATATTTTCTGGCTGTTCCATTAATGTTTTATGTGAATACGAGAGCTGTAATGATCTAGGCTTTGAATTTAAATAAGAGGATTGCTTTTTATCTTGGGGTAAGCTTATTCAAAAGCAAAGCCTAAGTCAAGACCTTGGTGCAATTATTTTGGGGGAAAGGCACATGTTCCCAGGAAGCAAGAGGGAGGTGGCAAGCATAGCAAGATGGGGAAGGAGAACTAACCAATATAGGATGTGGTAGCCAGGTTTCTGCTGTTGGCAATGGGGGCTCAATTCCACCAGGTACTCCGAGAAGCCTACAGAACACTTCAATTGTTCCCATCTCTGGTGGACAGGAGGCTGGAGCATCTACCCTCCAGCTCCCTCAGGTTTCTGGACTGCACTTCCATGCTGACCTGGCAGATCCAATGATATCTCAATGCCCCAGACAGAAAGCAGAAAAATGCACAGCATATAGTTAAGGTTGGACTGTGTCAAAGTAAGATGAGATACACAAATCTGTGTACTCTGCTGCAACAAAGCCCAGAAATATGCCCAAGGCATACTGGAGACGTCTCCAACAGGTTTGTCATTGAAAGATGTAAAGTGTTGGAATTAGGATGTGCCATCTCTGAAGAAACTTACTTAGCCACCCTAGCATCCCTGCTCCACTTCCTCTTCTGCAATGAAATCCCCAATTTCAGCTGACGTAGCAAGTGCATCCAGCTACAAGACTACATTTTGGACCTTGCTTGCAGCTATATGTGACCATCTACTTTCTAGACAAATTGTATAAGCAGGAAGTCGTGTGGGATTTATAGAAAGAGACTCAGAATTTGCTTTTCCTCTGCCTTCTACCTTCCTGCAGCCTGTAAGGCAGTCACAGTGGCTCGATCTTGAGAAACCATGTGGGCATGAGACAACGCTCCAGGATGATGGCGTAGTGAGATAGTGGCCTGTGACCCTGATGATGTCAAATTGTCATATACAGATCCTGAACTATCAAAGCTGGGATTCCTTTGTGTGAGATGAAAATAAATAGTTTATGAAGGATCTGTTATTTGGGGTTTTTCCATTTTGTTCAACCCTATCCCATTCTAACACATTACATGAAATACCTGGGACCCACCCCACTCTTCTCCAGTGCCAGTCCTTAATATACCAGCCCTGCCCATAAGCCTGAGAGCGTCCTCTCAGCTTTCTGATCTCCTGTCCTCGGATTACACAGCACAAAGTCACCAAATGTGAAAAAATATTCCTACGTGAAAACAAACCATAAAACCAACTTTGATGAATAGAAATGGTATTGGGAGAAAAAGAAAATGCCAAGATAAGATTACTTAGAATTAATATTTTCAACAAAGAAATATCTTACATCCAAAATTATAAGATATAAATATTTAAAAAATATAAAAGGATACTCAAAAAACTGCCCTTGTTCAGGCTCAGCCCTGGCTGCTGCGAGCATTTGATTAGTGAACCCCAGAGGGAAGATCTCTGTCTCTTCTGTGTCTTTCTGTCTCTTTGCCTTTCAAATAAGTAAAAAATGAATAGACAGGCCGGCGCCACGGCTCACTAGGCTAATCCTCCGCCTTGCGGCGCTGGCACACTGGGTTCTAGTCCCGGTCGGGGCATCGGATTCTGTCCCGGTTGCCCCTCTTCCAGGCCAGCTCTCTGCTGTGGCCAGGGAGTGCAGTGGAGGATGGCCCAAGTGTTTGGGCCCTGCATCCCATGGGAGACCAGGAGAAACACCCGGCTCCTGCCATCGGATCAGCGCAGTGCGCCAGCCATGGCGGCCATTGGAGGGTGAACCAACGGCAAAAGGAAGACCTTTCTCTCTGTCTCTCTGTCTCACTGTCCACTCTGCCTGTCCAAAAAAAAAAGAATAGGCATTTCTAAAAAGTTCTATGGGAGAATTTGAGAATGAATTAGCAAAGAAAAATTATTAACTTGAGAGAAACAAAATGTACAAGAAAGCATAGTATTCTACATGGTTCTTTGAACATTTTCATAATCATAATTGCACTATTATTTAACTTCCAGCTTTGGTTTTACCTATAACCACATCAGGAAAATGGAAAAGAAAACTATAGGGCACGCTACCTCAAGAATTGGTAGCGTGAACATGCTATTTAGAAACACAGACTTGAGGTCAGTATTGTGGCATAGTGGGTAAAGCAGCCTTTTACGATGCCAGCATTCCATATGGGCACCAGTTCAATTCCCGGCTTCTCCACTTCTGATCCAGCTCCCTGCTAATGGCCTGGGAAAAGCAGCAGAAGATGGCCCAAGTGCTTAGGCCCCTATGACCATATGGAGGACCTAGAGGAAGTTCCTGGATCCTGGCTTCAGTGAGTCCCAGCTATGGCCATTTGGGGAGTAGACCATCAGATAAGAAGATCCATCTCTTTCTCTCTCTCTCTCTCTCTCTCTCTCTCTCTCTCTCTCTCTCTTTCTCTCTCTCTCTCTCTTATTTTTAAATTTTATTCTGAAATATTTTTTAGTTAAAAAACGACGAATAATGAGAAGGCATGCAATTCACACCAGCTTGCCAATACCATGGCTATGCAATACCTGCTTAAAGCCTCAAGCCCCAGTGAGCTGTCACCTGCATGAGGCCTCTGGGTTTCACCCATTGGCAGGGCTCTGTCTGCCTTCCAACCCTTCTCATATTTTATATCTGCTCTATGCATTTAGCCAGCAGCCCCCATTTTATCCTGTATTATTTTCTGTGTACATCTGTCACAGCAACAGGCAAATACAGTAGACGATGCTGGATAAAGGCTTGATGTTTAGTTAATTAGCATAATCTGAATCCTGCTTCAATGTCCTTGGTACTATGATACCAAGATATTCTGGGATTTCCTTCACAAGAAAATCATTCTGTAAATGCTTGAGAATTTATGGGTAGAAAATGCTCCTACTTTGTCCAGAGAAAAGTTACTTGGATGCTCCCATCCTAGCATACTCAATTTGATAAAGAAAAGTCATGTTCTTTGCTAAACAGTCACAGACTATGATTGCAAAATCAAATCAATTTGAGGGGAAAAAAACTGCGTATCATGACACACTTTGTGGCAAGTGTACTCTTCTGTTATTAATTAAATGATGATACAAGCCGATTCATGCCACGTCTCCCTATTACTTTCCAATCCTGTGCAAACAGAACAAAGCTTCAGCTGAAGAGCAAGAGGAATGAAGAGTCTTCTGCCTCTATTTTTGCTCTCCCTAACATTTTCTTCTGCATTTCCTGCAGACCGAAAGATGAAAAATGAAGACAATATGCATCTGGCTCAGGTACTGTCTCAATAAATGTTACTAGCGACCACCAGTAAAATGTTCATTTTATTATTTCTCTCATGACCTAAAAATGACAGCAAATTCCTACAAAGGAGTTCCACGCTTTCGTATAAGACAGAGGTGCAGGATATGAAGACAGCATATGAGGGGTGGATGGGAAGAGTAGGGCGGGAGCCAGGCAGAATTTGCTATGAGTTGAGCACTGGTCATGAGTGAAGGTGACATTAGTGAAAAGAAAGGGGATTAGTGCAGGGCCCGGGTATGTCTATAAAAGCATTTCAGGCCAGCCAGGTGGACCAATCTGTAATTTGGAGCCCCTTGTCTAACTATCTGTTTATCATGCATCTATCTGAAATGTACATTGCTTTGGCAGTTAGTTTGCAAGATGGATAAATACCCGTTTCTTCTAGACTTTGTTTCAAGGAAACACCAAATGAAGCTAGCAGCAAATATCTGTGAGTTTAATTGGTAGAGGAAGCTTCACTCAGTCTGTGGAGTTGGGTGTTTTATGGTCTGTGTGGTTTGACTAATCCTTGTCGCTTCATAAATCTAGCAATTCTTGGATATTGCAAGAGCAGGGTGCCTCCTTCCTTTCCTCTCTGTGTCCTTTCTTCCTTCCTCCCTCACGCCTCTCTTTCCCTCATTATTTATTGTCACTCCACACACCTCTTTACTGCCAAAAAAAAAAAAAAAAGGTTTTCAAGCCATTTTGTTTTATCCCACGATAGAGTTTTGCTCTCCTGTAGTTTGTGCCTTTTTTTGTTTGTTTGTTTTTTGTCTTTTTGGTCAGGCATATCTCAACCAGTTCTACTCTCTTGAAATAGAAGGGAGTCATCTTGTTCAAAGCAAGAACAGGAGTCTCATAGAAGGCAAAATTCGGGAAATGCAAGCATTTTTTGGATTGACAGTGACTGGAGAGTTGGATTCAAACACTCTGGAGATCATGAAGACCCCCAGGTGTGGGGTGCCTGATGTGGGTCAGTATGGCTACACTCTCCCTGGGTGGAGGAAACACAACATCACATACAGGTAACACTTCAGTTCCACCTAATCCAAAGGAACAGGAATATAATCTCCACGAAACAATTATAATAATCAGTGATTGTAGTGAGCACTTCCTGTGCACTTGGCATGCCACAGTTTTTACGTATTCCATCCTCCCAAGAAACCTGCATATAGTATATGGTACTGTCACCTTGAACACAGATACACTGAAAGGAACATTCATGAGTCAAGACCAAGGTTACAGAGCTATTACCCGGAGACTGGCCCCAGCAGATATGCCCTAATTTCTGGTCTCTGCTGCTTCCATATGCACTCAAGATGAGAGGCCCAGCCTCTCTTAAGCTTCTGGTGCTTAAGAGCCTGGATGAAGTGTGAAGAGAGTATGGGGAGACTCTGGGGTACAACCAGCTCATATTAGAGAGATGTGTGTGAAGTATGGATTTGCCCTCAGCTATCTCAAGGAGAGGGGGACTGGCTCATTGGCAGGAAGAGGATCTGAGAGGCAGTGACCTTGACCTCCACTATAAAGCTTTTCTGATAGATTTTCCTTCATTCTACTGAGTTTTGCTATTAAAATGGTTTTAACAAGATAGGGAATACAAATAAAAGAAAAATCTTTTCCTGGCTTTGTGGCTCTTGACTAAGATTCCTATTATAAGATATGTGAACAAGCTATATGAGAAAGTAAATCTCAGTTCTTTAATATTTTTACTATATTCATATACAAGCAAACACATACATGAAATAATGCTGTCCTATTTCAGATAAGGTCTTAAGGAAGTGACTTAACCTCTTGGAGCCTCCTTTGTTAAAATGCTGTATTATCTGATTCATGAGGAAGATGAAAGAATTCAACTATGTAGAATATGTAAGGGTCCTTCATTTAACTAAAGTGCTATGCACATTAAAATATTGGCACCACAAAAATGTTATGGTATCATGTGATTAAAAAGGTAGAAATGATTTTTATAGGATGTGTGCAACACATGTACATATAAGTAACAATTGATGTATTTGTGTTAACTTTCAAGAATAATGAACTACACTCCAGATATGGCACAAGCTGATGTGGATGATGCTATCCAAAAAGCACTGGAAGTATGGAGCAACGTGACTCCACTAACATTCACCAGGATTTCCAAGGGGATTGCAGATATCATGATTGCTTTTAGGACGCGAGGTAAGGTTTTCTACAGGAAAAACTGTGACTATTTTCACCTCAAGGATAGGAAGCTAATCGTATTTCCTCCCATCAATTGTTTCTCAGTCCATGGCCGATGTCCTCGTCATTTTGATGGCCCCTGGGGAGTCCTTGGCCATGCCTTCCCACCTGGTCTGGGTCTGGGTGGTGACACTCACTTTGACGAGGATGAGAACTGGACCAAGGATGCAGCAGGTGAGTCCAGTGTTTTAATGAACAAAAGCTCATTACTCTAAAGACTCCTTGAAAAGAATAGCTTTGCAACCAATTACCATTTATCTGATACTCCCTAATTTCCCCACAATTTTCCATATCCACAGATGACCCTGGTGGAAGTGTTCAATATCCAGACAGACAACTGTACTTTCACAGTTCAGAGCCTTATCCTTACAACACATTCTCTTAAAGTTGTTAATCTGATTGTGATTGGAGGATTCTTCACTTATCCATACATGTGTGTGTCTATGAAACTTGCGGGTCTGTGTGCCTGGAGGTATGCAAGGTATTGTGTGGACCACATAGCTATTCTAGGTAAATTTCAGAGGCTCATTCTCCTGTGAGTTATAAGAAGGAGCTTCAAAAAGTTTGCTGGAAAATGAACATTATGAAAAACTGTGTGGGTTTCAAAATTTTGACATCAAATAAATTCATCTTTGAAATGAAAGTTCCATGAACTTTTTGAAGTTCCCTCATATGAAGCTGAGACCCACAAACCCACCACAAAAGGCAGAATGCGTTGTGTGTTGTACCAATGGCATAAGTCACCTGTAACTTGAGGACTGAAAGAAGACTCTAGGGAGGTAATAATTTGGAGTTAGCAATTACAGGACAGTGTGGATTCACAGTCCAAAGTGTGTCTAGTTAAAAGCATGAACCACCTCTTCTAACTTATCTGCAAAGGAATGAGACCCTAATCATTATCTTTGGCCAATTCCTTCAATTAAGTTGATTTTTTAAAAAGATTTATTTATTTATTTGAAAGTCAGAGTTACACAGAGAGAAAAGGAGAGTCAGAGAGAGGTCTTCCATCTGATAGCTCACTCCCCAAATGGCCGCAACGGCTGGAGCTGCACTGATCCAAAGCCAGGAGCCAGGAGCTTCTTCCGGGTCTCCCTTGCAGGTGCAGGGGCCCAAGGACTTGAACCATCTTCCACTGCTTTCCCAGGCCATAGCAGAGAGCTGGATCAGAAGTGGAGCAGCCAGGACTAGAATTGGAGCTCATATGGGATGCTGGCGCTTCGGGCCAAGGTGTTAACCCTCTGTGCCACAGCGCCAGCCCCAAGTAAGTTGATTTTAATTCTTTTTTTTTTTTTTTTGATAGGCAGAGTGGACAGTGAGAGAGAGAGACAGAGAGAAAGGGAGAGAAAGGTCTTCCTTTGCCGTTGGTTCACCCTCCAATGGCCGCTGCGGCCAGCGCGCTGCGGCCAGCACACCGCGCTGATATGAAGCCAGGAGCCAGGTGCTTCTCCTGGTCTCCCATGGGGTGCAGGGCCCAAGCACTTGGGCCATCCTCCACTGCACTTCCTGGCCACAGCAGAGAGCTGTCCTGGAAGAGGGGCAACCAGGACAGAATCCGGTGCCCCGACCGGGACTAGAACCCGGTGTGCCGGCGCCGCAAGGATTCGCCTAGTGAGCCGCGGCGCCGGCCGATTTTAATTCTTCTAATGGGCCTACCTACACTGGAAGTTTTTCATGATTTTTCAAACAAGAACACAAAACTTTACTAAAGTAGTCATGTTTGTATCAAGCAAAGAGACAGGCTTTGTAGATTCTCAGGCTGTTCCCACTCCTGACTTTTTTAATCATTGACAACAGGCATCATGCATCTATTACCTAGATACCAGGGCCCTAGGAAAGCACAGGCTGTGGCTTTTGTGAGAGGTAGGATACACGGATACAGTTCATTCCTTACCAAGTAACTCTAGGTAAGTCTCTTTGGGCCAGATCTACAGCTTTTGTGAAACTGAGAATCTGTGGCATTAAATGGTCCATAATTACTCACTGCCGAGTTTGAACATGTAAGACAACCGTTCTTCCGAGTGCTGGTGAGGAAGGTAAAGAAGAGATTATTGACTGAGCTTTGGGCAACAGAGCAAACCAGGCTTTGCTTTCGTATCTAGAGATAGAAATCAAAATGAAAGATGGCACTATCCTTTGATCACGTTAAATCCAATACTTGGTAGCAATTGCTGTCATCCGTATTGTTTCAAGCTCACTGCCAAAAGCGATCTGAGGGATGGATTCTTAAACAGAACAAAGAGTTCTGGGACCCATGTGAACAGGACTGGCTTGAACCAGGCAGAGTGAAATACAGAATCCAACCAGGTGCTGAGTGGGAAAGCAGGCAGCAGTTCCAAAAGGGGTTGTGTTTTGACTACTTTATTACAATCTCTCAGAGTAGAAACTGTGAACCCTTGGTGACACCCAATTGTAAAATTCTTAGTATACTGACATTAAAGGAATTAATAATATGTTTTCTAATAAGAACAAAAAGTTTCTCCAAGTAACTGTAGTTTCCAATCAAATCATACTTTTTATTTGGGCTAAGAAGACAGAAAAAGAGAGAGAGCATACTTCCATCCATTGGTTCACTCCCCCAAATGCCCACAGTGGCTGCTACCCCGCCAGGGCCAAAGCCTAGAGCCAGGAACACCATACGGATCTCCCAGTCACTCCCAGGGAGGCAGGAATCTGGAGAAAGAGTAGAAGCTGGTATCATACCCAGGCATTCCGATATGGCACACAGATGTCCCAACTGCCTGCTTGACCACTAGGCCAAATACCTGCCCCCAATCATAATTTTTTAAATAGGAATTTTGGTAATAATAATATGACTACTACTTCTGTTACAGTGTTCTTTCTCCTGTGGAGGAAGTACAAAATCATAGAGCATCTGAGCCATGCTTTGCTAATCTCATTGCTTCTCCTGGGAAGCACAAGTCATTTGCAAGAGATATCAGAGGAGTTCAAGCACATGCAGAGATTTTCCTTGAGATTCTCCCAAAGCAAAGCCAGTGCCAGGACTATTGTGAGTGTGTGTGTGTATGTGTGTGTGTGCGCGCATGTGCGCATGCCACACAGATGGTACACCAAACACCTGACATATCCTTAAAGAATACTGCTCAGTGTTGGGACGTGGGAAGAGAGTGGTTTATATTTTGGCAGAATTTTATTCTTTTCAGAGCTTCTTATTTATCGGAGAGGCCGATGGAAAGTCAATCTTTTTGCCATTCCTTTTTCTATAAAATAATAATAGTAATGACCTCCTTGAGGGATGGTAAAATAAACTCCCTTCTGTTTAATTAAGTGAATAAAAGTGAAGGCACCCCACAAAGCACTTCTTCATAGCGAACACTCAGACAGTATTTGATGTTGATGATTATCTAGGTGCTTATTCATATTAGTAGTGATGAGGATGGTGATGATGATGACATAGAAAAAGACATTTACAAAGGTATGAATTCATAATGTATAGATTCACCCATTTATTCACATCTCCATGAGGCAAAGATTTTGTCATCTTTTTGCCTACACTGTCATATGGCCTATCACAGTGTCAACACTTGATAAATGGTCTCCAAATGTTTAGTAAATAAAGTCCCTCAACAATCATTTATTGAATATCTACTGCGACACAGACTTTGTCATCAAAATGGAACATAGAATAGTATACAGGACACAGACCCTGCCTTCCAGTGGTTTACTGTCAAGGGGCACACAGATAATTAAATGGCAATTAAAACCAGTACAGGCCAGCGCCATGGCTCAATAGGCTAATCCTCCACCTGCGGCGCCGGCACACCTGGTTCTAGTCCCAGTTAGGGCGCCGGATTCTGTCCTGGTTGCCCCTCTTCCAGGCCTCTACTATGGCCTGGAAGTGCAGTGGAGGATGGCCCAAGTACTTGGGCCCTGCACCCCATCGGAGACCAGGAGAAGCACCTGGCTCCTGGCTTCGGATCAGCGCAGTGTGCTGGCCATGGTGGCCATTGGAGGGTGAACCAACGGCAAAGGAAGACCTTTCTCTCTGTCTCTCTCTCACACTGTCCACTCTGCCTGTCAAAAAAAAAAAAAACAGTATGAACAGTACTGGGATAAAGGAAACTATGGTGATATAACAGGAGCACATGGGAGAAATTTTAACCCAGACCAGAGGTCAGAGGAGGAAGAGATGTCAAACCCGAGACCTGAATTCTAAGCAAGAACTGAGAAGGCAAAGGGAGAGGAAGAGGATAAGAGAGTTCTGACAGAAATCCCAGCTCAACTCAGCTGAAAGCAGGGAAGGGAAGGCTGGGATGGGAAGACTGGGATTCAGCTGGTAGAGAGTCTTAAAAGCCAGGGTAAGTATATTTGGAATTCATTTAGAAGAGCTGAGTTTGAACTATTTTTTCAGAGCTATTTGTCCTTGAACAAAAACACATTCAGGAATATAACCAGCCAGGCACATAGCAGCACAAAGGTCAGAGCAGAAAGTGATCAAAGACCAGGAAATAATTCTTTGCCATTTTATATTAGCTTTGTGCAAACATCTCCATCAAGAATGGTGTGGTCTTTCCTTAGGCTCCACAGACTTAGCTGTAAATCCAAGGACAGTCTTTTACTTTTAGCACTTGAAAGACTACTGGGGCAGAAAGATAATCAGAAAGACAATTTCAGTATACCTGGCAACACTCCTGGGCTGAATACATACAGGGTACTATGGTCATGTGTGGGAGGAGCATCTCACCACCTTTTCACTCAAGTAGACATCTGAACATCCAGCAATCATTAATGAGCACCATCTACTGCCAACCAGTTTGGCAGTCATCAAAAATAAATGATGATTAAGATCCCTGTACTCAAAGGTTAGACAACCTGGTAATAGGAACAGGCAATACAATCGCTTGTGTGCTATGATGAAAGTGAGAACTAAGTCTTTGGAATCCCAGAGGTGCATTTTATTTAATGTAGATTGCAGCTGGGATGATAATGGACCCCCCCCCACCATGAACTAAACGATTCTGGAGCAAAGTTCTGAAGAACAAGTAGGTGGCTAAGCTCAGAGGGAGTGGGAAGGATAATATTCTTGGAAGAATGAATGGAACTATAAAGACACTGAAAATAGGAGGATTATGCACAGAGGACAAATTCAACTGACTAATATGACTAGCTCATGAAATATGAAAATATGAGGATGAAAAAAGGCAGGGATGAGATCATGAAGAGCCATGTGAGGAGATTTGTACTTTACCCTACAGCCAGTGGAGAACTCAGAAGAATGTAAGTAGGAGCAACAGGATCACATATAGGATAGTCCATAAACAACAACAACAAACTAGTAGCTTTAATTTTTTTAAATAATATCCTTTTCTGAGATACTGGTTTTAAGCCATTGATTTACACTGGGTTATATTTTTCCATTATATGTCTAATGCCAATTACTAGTATTGAAATACTTCCGGATAAATGATGTTGTGTAAATCATACAGAAATATCTGCTGTATAGCAAGCCTCTTCTTCATTCCCCTTGGTTTCTTGTAATCTCAGGTGCAACAGTTCTTTTGATCAACTCATGATTTCATGTTTTCCCTGTTTTTGTTAAGGATTCAATTTATTTCTTGTGGCTGCTCATGAATTTGGCCATTCACTAGGGCTCTCTCACTCCAGTGATCAAAGAGCCTTGATGTTCCCGAATTTTGTCTCCCTGGATCCTAGCAAATATCCGCTTTCTCAGGATGATATCAATGCAATCCAGTCCATCTATGGTGAGTAAAATTGTACTCGTGAATGTATATGAACTAGGGGCAGACATTGGGCCCACTGGTTTAAGGCTATGATTAGCACTCCCACATTCCCTAGGGGAGTACTTTGATTTCCACCTCTGGCTCCAGAGTCCAGCTTCCTGCTGATATACACCTTTGGAGGCAGCAGTGATGGTTCAAGTAATTGGGTTCCTAATACCCTCACAGGAGACCTTGATTGGGTTCCCAGATCCTGCCTTCAGCACCCCCAACCATTGCAAATATTTGGGAAATAACCCAGTGGAGGAGAGTGCTCATTCATTCTCTCTCTCTCTCTCTCTCTCTCTCTCTGTCTCTCTGCCTCTGGCTCTCTTTCTCTGGCTCTATTTCTCTCTCTGTTCTTCCCTTCCCTCCCCTCCCATCTCCTTTCCTCCTCCCCTTCCCTTCCCTTCCCTCCCCTTCCCTCCCCCACCACCTCTCCTCTTTCTCCCTCTGTGTGTTTGTGTCTGTCTGTCTGTCTGCCTCTCAGTAATTAAATAAATGTGAACTAAATAGGACACTTTTCAAAAAGGAAGTTGGAGAAATCATTTCTTGAAATATTAACATGAAGCAAATAATCACTTAGGTAAGATCCTTGTGTAGGCATACTTCCTCATGCCCGCTAAATTCACTGTGGTATTTCTTTTCTCATCAAAGGAGGTCCACCTAAGGTACCTGCTAAGCCAAAGGGACCCACTGTACCCCATGCCTGTGACACAGGATTGACTTTTGATGCTATTACCAGTTTCCGCAGAGAAGTAATGTTCTTTAAAGGCAGGTAAACCATTCCCTCAATTTCCTACAATGATTTTTCTTTTCAATGGGATTTGGGGACAGAAAGTCTTAGAACTAGTAAAAATGTGTGCCTTTTCCTTTCATTATATAACTGCACATTCTATTCAACTATCTTAGTATGTGTTTATATCTCTTATTTATTTGACAAATAATATTTGAATGATTTAAATCAATTTTTAGCTGCCATTAAATAAGAATGTGAATTAGAGTAACTTTCAATGACTTCTTGGTCCAAATGATACATGAGTCTCATCAACTTAAGCCTGATTTCAGGAGCCTATTGTTAAGTTTTCAGGAATTTTCCAAATCAATTCAAATCAGAGTGGTAGCTTTAAATTGGTTGTGGTAGAGTATTTTCACCCTGGGAATCAACAAATATTAAAAATCAGATCTTATCGCAGCTAGAGACCAGTGTTATATATGAATCAGCACACCACTGACCACTTCTTAATGTTAAACCCATAAAGGATTCTGTCATAGTATAAACTTCCTTCTCTTACTATGTTTAACTTATTGGACTTAAATTGTGGCATGATGCATTAGTTATGTATAGCATGGCAAATTTCCATAGCAAAATCTTGAGACATACACCATTCAACAAGAATATAGAGGTATAAGCAAAGAATACTTGAAACCAGATCCCTTGCACCCACAACTGTATAGCACTGTCATTACACAACATTGCTAGTTTGCTCTGACCAGCAGAGGCTAAGAGATCACCAATCATGGACAGGAAAGGGGAGTTGCCTACTTTTTATAGACTCAGAATTTTACAGCCAGAAAGGAAATTCTGAAGAATGTTTTAATATGCCATTAATAACATTTGCTCATTCCAGCACACGTCGGCACATAAAAGTTCTGCTTCATTTGCTGTGTCCTTGACTTTGTCTCTGGTACTTGGAACTATTTGTAAAATTTATATGAGGGGGCCGGCGCCGCATCTCAATAGGCTAATCCTCCGCCTGCAGCTCCAGCACACCGGATTCTAGTCCCAGTCGGGGCGCTGGATTCTGTCCTGGTTGCCCCTCTTCCAGGCCAGCTCTCTGCTGTGGCCCAGAAGTACAGTAGAGGATGGCCCAAGTGTTTGGGCCCTGCACCCGCATGGGAGACCAGAAGAAGCACCTGGCTCCTGGCTTCAGATCAGTGCGGTGCGCCAGCCGCGGTGCGCCGCGGCATCCATTGGAGGGTGAACCAATGGCAAAAGAAAGACCTTTCTCTCTGTCTCTCTCTCTCTCACTGTCCACTCTGTCTGTCAAAAAAATAAATAAATAAATAAATAAATAAATAAAAATTTACATGAGGGGCCAGCACTGTGGCATAGCAGGTAAAGCCACCACCTGCAGTGCCAACATCCCATATGGACACCAGCTTGAGTCCTGGCTGCTCCACTTTTAATCCAGTTCTCTTCTATAGCCCAGAAAGTAGCAGCAGATGGCCCAAGACCTGGAAGAAGCTCCAGGCTCCTGGCTTTGGTTTGGTCCAGCGTGGCCAGTGCAGCCATTTGGGGAGTGAACCAGCAGATGGAAGACCGTCCTCTCTCTCTCTCTCTCTCTCTCTCTCTCTGCCTCTGCCTCTCTATAACTCTGGCTTTCAAATAAATAAATATATCTTAAAAATATTTACATGAATAGTTTACCACTCTAAGTACCCATTATACTGGACACAAAGGCATATCCTGACCTCAATAGTTCAAAGAATAGAACTGAACTCACAACAAACTAAATTGGCTGGGGAAAAAATCATGCTAGTTCTGTAAATTATTTGAAGATACTGACCCATTAAATGAAAGGCAAGCCTAAGATTGTATCATCTGCATTGACAAAAATAGGTAACCTACATGGGTAAAGTGTTTTTTTTTTTTTAACATAGGAACCTCTGGAGGATCTATTATGATATTGCTAATGTTGAATTTGAATTAATTGCTTCATTCTGGCCATCTCTGCCAGCTGATCTTCAAGCTGCATATGAAAATCCCAAAGACAGGATTCTGGTTTTTAAAGGTAACCTTTCTTATCATCATTCCTTCAGTCTCTCTAGATACCTGAACTGGCCAGTAGGTAGTCTGGTGTGGGGAATATAATCTTCATGCATGAGCCAGGGACTAAAGGAAACTTATATGGTAAAAACTATACATTTTTTTGCTAAATAAAGGTACTCTATCTATTTTTCTTGTTCCCTTTTCACTAGGGTTGTCAAATTCAGCAAATAAAAATGTAGAATTCTGCCTCTCAAAATATAATTCTATGAATTTCAGTTAAATAACAGGTAATTGTTGGCATACATATGTCTCTTGCAATATTTTAGGTACACTTATATAAAAATTAGTCATTTTTTATTTGAAATTCAAGTTTAGTAGGTATTTTATATTTAGCTTAGAAATCTTTATTTTTTACATGTATTTAATCAAATTAAAAGGCTTTGAGAGCGCTTGAAAGCTGAAATTTAGGAGAATATATCTGCATACTAAATTGTTTTATCAATTAGCCAATGAAACATAATCAATGCAGTGAAACCAGTTGACAAGGGTATGTACATTATTAACTACAGTACATAATAATATAGCTGATATAAACAGCTAAAGAAAATGGTTAGTATAAATGGAGACACAAGATTACTAAATCTACAAGTACTGAAATTGAGAGGAATTGGGCACCTAATTATTTTTAAACTTAAGACATTTACTTTTTCTCCTAGGAAGTAGATGAGAAGGTAATCACTTTCTCTCTTGCTAGATGAAAACTTCTGGATGATCAGAGGATATGCTGTCCTGCCAGATTACCCCAAATCCATCCATACGCTCGGCTTCCCAAGACACGTGAAGAAAATTGATGCAGCAGTCTGTGACCAAAACACAAGGAAAACGTACTTCTTTGTAGACATTTGGTGCTGGAGGTAAGTTTACAGAAAATTGGCCCTTTTGCTTATTATAGAGACAAAAAATTAAACAAATCTAGAGTCTTCTTAAAATGAATTTTGTTGAAGGCAATTTTGGGCAGAGGACACTTATGAAATCATAAGATACATCTGTGCATCTAATGGTCTTTCTCCAACTTAAAAAATATGAGACATCTGAAAAATTTATGGAAAACATGCACTAATTCCACTCTTCCATGAATTTCCTGAATACCTTTGTATGAACAAGTTAAAATAATAAAGTTGGTGATGCCAACCAAATTGCCAATAACACAAACAACAGTCAAAATCTCTAAATGCTCCCAGCTGAGCTCTTGGTTTGATTTAACAGTTCCTCAGAATAGCCCTGAGTTAACAAAATATGTACCCTTTTTTCTAATCTGTGTTAAAGATGCCATAAGTAATAACTTAAAATATACTATAAATGATTCAACCATCTATAATCTTCATATTTTTATTACTGATCCCATTAGTTTCCCTCTAGCTGACCCATTTATCTGACTGTAAGTTGGACAAGTAGAAGAATCAAACTCTCCAAAACAAAGACCCACTTTCAAATCCATGTATGTAGGTATGATGAGATGACCCAAACCATGGACAGAGGGTATCCACAGAGGGTGGTAAAACACTTTCCAGGACTTGGTCTCCGCATTGATGCTGCTTTCCAGCATAAAGGTAACACTGATGCCTAAATTATGGAAAACACTTCAGAGATTATATCGACTCCAATGTAGTAAGAGAGCAGAGAAGCAGTTTGATTTTAATGTAATTTTTTTACTGCATGTAAGTGTAGTGAATGAAAATACTAAAGAAGCATATACGTGAAATAATAAACACAAGCTTTGCAGGTATTATCATGAATAGAATTTGTAAGTCCTGGATTATACTCTCTGTGACACTATTTCAAATCTGTGTTGAAGAAGGGCAGGCATTTTGCCTGGCACTTAGGATGCTACTTGGGATGCCTGCATCCCATATTAGAGTACCTGGAATTGGTCCAGATTCTATTCCCCTTTCCAGCTTCATGATAATGCTCACCCTAAAAAGGCAGTAGGTGATGGCTCAAGTAGTTGAGTACCTGCCACCTATGTGGGAGACCTAGCTTCAGGTTGTCCTGGACCCAGCTCTTGAAATCATTTGAGGACTGAACCAGTTGGTGGGAGCATTCTCTTTCTCTCCTCTCTCTCTCTCTCTCTGTCTCTCTCTATCTCTCTCTTTCTGTCTGTCTGTCTCTCTCTCTCTGATTTTTCTGCCTTTAAAATAAATAGGAAAAAAAGAAAAGAAAATAGTTTTTTTTTTAATTAGAACAGCTCTTAAAAATTGTGGATAAAATGTAGAGGCCAAGATAATAACCACAGAGGCCTTCTCCTCACCATCACTGAGATACTTTGCTGAAACCTAGCTTCAATCATAATAATCTCACTAGATAGATGATAATCTCACTAGAAAAGTGCTAAGTCCCTTCAAACTCATGCTTTTTACCTTGACTTCCTCCTTGGGGAAATAATCAGATTTCTTATGTGACAGTTAAAAAAGAAAATACATCTATATAATTTTCCAAGTTTCTTTGTTCTCAATAATGTTATTCTATTTCTATAAAATGTTTAAGTAAGGAACCATATGTATATAAACTATATAAGTATGGAACCATAACTACATAACCACAGCTATATAAGCTATGGAAGATAACTAATCATAACTCTCTGTTTCTAGGATTCTTCTATTTCTTCCGTGGATCAAAGCAATTTGAATATGATATTAAGGCAAAGAACATTACCCAAGTGATGAGAACCAATGCTTGGTTTCAGTGCACAGAACCGTTAAACTCATCATTTGATTTTGCTATCAACAGGGAAAGTGCATATTCAAGAGGAATGGACATATTGTATCACAGGAATTTAAGCTTGCTTGTTGTCAGTATTGTTTATCTGCTGAAAAACCTTATAGTTATCAATGAGTTTATAGACCTAAATTTAACCTTGAGAAGTCTTTTAATCTGAACTCTGTCTCAAAGTAGAGTAGAACCTTTCTTTAACATTAATATGCCAGTCCTACTTGGTTCTAAATACCTAATGGGTAAAGATTCAACAACCATTTTGAGCTAATTCTTTTAACAGGAAATTATTAGATATAAGTAAAATCACTGGCTGTACGTTAAGCCTAATTCAGCTTTGTGGACTTGGGAAAGTAAGATGTGTCATAACTAAATACTGAAGACATTTATTAAACCAATCTTTAGCATTCTATTTTGCCTGGTTCTTTGAGAAGCCCAATAAACTGCATCCCTCATCCCTCTGCATGTTCTAAACTCACCAAATACGTTATTCCACCTCCCTAAGAGAAGGGTGAGGCCTGGATAGATGAAATGTGTGTTACACTAGAGACAGTTCCCTGATAATTAAGGAAGTAGCAGGAGTAGGAAATAAGTGTCCCTCCAGCCTGCCAAACATTGACCAATGCGGTCAACAATTCCTTAGTAGAAAGTCAAGCTTTATGCACATTGATCTCCCATATAAGAAATACCAGGATTTCTTCCCTGGGTTGGAGATTTATTGGCATCACCTTAGCCTAGGCATAGAAAATGCTGTCCTTTGATCGATCATCTATTTGTTCAGTTTCCAGATTCCTCTGATTAGGATTTATCTTCATACCCTCAAAGCTAAATGCTCAGCAGAGCTCTTAGTGAGTTTTCTGAGCCAGAGCTGGGAGATTGCCTATTGAATTTGATTCTGATGAAGTGAAACATTGAGAAGGTATCTATTGATAGAAGATAAGCAGAGAGAATCTCACAAATGACAAACACAACGGGTACTCGCTTGTCCTTTCTGGTTTTCTCAAGGGCCTGTGATTAAGTCTTAAAAGAAAGAAATAGCTTTAAAATAAGTATGTACAAGACTACATTGACAACAAGTATTCAATTTGGAGTTTTGAACAGCTGAGGTAGAAGAGATGAATTTAATATACAGATTATATTTTAATTTTTTTCTACCTGAGGACAAAGAGAGAAACTCATCATAACTTTTCTATTGCTTATCATGAGTTGACTCCCATAAGACACTCAACTGAATGAATCATTTGTCCCAGAGAAGAATTGGATGTTTTATTTTTGGTCATGAAATTATTTGAAACACAAGACATATCTTCAGGTTGAAATTCAGTCCCCTATTTGTTTTCATGTATATGTAATCTTAAATAAAAAGATTAATAGCTAAAAGAAACTTTTAAGATACTTAAATTAGTCACAAAATCCTAAATTTTAATTCTATATTCACTTATTATCTAGAAATCTATAAAATCATAGGGAAATCTAAATCCAACTTTTACTGATATAAATCACTTAGAATTTGATCTATAGATGAGATCAAAAACATATGAACAAGGTGGTCAACAATGAATACAAAACTTTCTTACACAGGAAAGTTTCCAGAACAGATGAATGTTTCTGTTTATAGTCTACAATAGTATTGATTGCTTAATGGACCATAAAACCGTATTTGGTAACAATCATGAGATTTAATAGATGAATTTTTGCTCATTTTTTTTCTGGAGTATACTCTTCAGTTGTATCAATAACAAGTAACATAAGCATTTATTTCCAAGATTATTTTACTTTTTTACTTTATCTTTTTGACTTCCTGAACTATTTTTAAGAACTTAGAAGCAAAAAGAATCAAATTCATTAAGATGGAATGGAAATCGGCTAAGTCTAAAAGCTCCCAGAAAATGTGATGCTAGGGAGTCAAAGCAACTGCATGTGAGAATGTGGCATGAAGTAGAAGAGCCTTCAAATACAAGTGATCTCAGAAGTCTGGGGTGCTTAGGAAATTGTTGAGAGAAATTGTGACCAAGATGGCCCCTGGTATATTTTTCATAGCTACCTGGGTGTTAATTAGTCTCATTCCTTCAGCAGACATAACGCCTGTGGGAAGTCAGAGGCACTGTGTGCTGAGCACGTTTGCTCACCCAACAACTATTTCCTGAGTGCCTACCGTGTGCCAGGCACTGCTCTAGGAACCATGGACGCAGCAGTGAACAAAGTAGCAAAGCCCCTACATTCGTGGATCTTACATTTTTAGTCAACGCACAGAAACCACTAATAAACAAGAAATTGCAATTATGTCGAGGAGGTTAAATGCCTTGAGGAGAAATCGAGGAGCTTGTGCCGAGCCTGCTTGTCCTCAGGTTCTCTCCATGCCCTTCCAGGGCTCCTCTGGGAATGGGGTGGCAGGTGCTGCCCCCTCCAGGCTCATCCAGATCTCAGCATCGTCCCAAGGGAGGCACTGAGCAGTCAGGCGTTTCCCCCTTCCCTCCTTTGCAACATCAGCAGTGGAGCTGTGTCTCTTCAGTACTGCAGCCCCCACCACACCCAGCGTGGTTCCTGCTGCTGCCAGGGCTGGTGGAGTCCTACAGCTTCTAACATCTGGACTGCTCCAGTATCCCCTGGACGGCTTTTCAGCCTCTTCCATCACACGTGTAACTGATTTCCTGCATTAAATTCTCCCTAGTTCAAAATCCAAGAATGATTTTGACTTTTCTGGTTGACACTAGGTAATGTTTTGGTTAGGAGAATAGAGGAAGAGTGACAAGTATGGGATGTTCTGGAGGGAATAACATACATAGAACTCTCTGGGGAGGCCTGAGGCAGAAATCTAAAGGAAGCAAGCCAGGGTCGCGTATCTAAGGGAAAGGGTGCAGGTGGGAAATGGCAGTAAGTGCAAAGGCCCTGCAGTGGGAATGTGCTGGGATTAGTTGGAGGGCAGCAGAGATGTTCCTGTGGCTGCAGAGAAATTGGGGCAGGGGTGGAGTGAGGGAAATGGAGATAAATTGGAGACGTGCCAAAGCGACAGATCATCTAAGGCCTTACCAGTCATTGTACAGAATATTTGTATTCTAGAGACATCTAAGAAGAAAAAGTGTTATTTTGACTTGTAGTTGAGAAGACTCACTGGCTACGCTGAGGAGAACAGGCAATAGAAACGGGAGATGCGTGAGGAGCCCCCTGCAACCATCCACAGTGGATGACATTCGTATTAGTGAAGGAAAGCCTGAGGGGATATTCTGAAGGTAGAGATGATGAGATGCGCTAATGGATTGGGTGTGTCCTCTGATATAAAGACAGTTTGGTTTGTTTCTGGACAAATGAAGGATGGAGTGGCCATTCACAGAGGTGTGAAGTCTGGGAGAGAAACCATTCTGAGGAGGAAATGACAGTGCTCAGCAGGGAGCTGGGTAACTCGCCTGAGGTTCAGCCCAAACACGGAGATCTAAGTTTGGGAATTATTATGTAGACACACAGGATTGAATTATGTCATCTAGGTGCTGAGCCCAGGGGAGGCGAGATGACATTGAGTAATAAACCCCCCTCCCATCACTAAGTAACTGATTAAAGATAAGCTTCATTTACAGTGTTGTTGACCCTACAACAACCCCATTCACTCTCCTGCACACCTGCTTCCTGCTGGCTGTTCATTCTCCTTGCTCCGTAGGTGCCCCTGAGCTTGCCACTTCACCCTGCTGTGCTTACCAGGACTCTTAACCTTGCCGGGGTCTCCAGATCAGAGCATGCGCACCTTGCAGGATTGGGGTCGGGGGAGGCAGGAGATTTAAACAAAGTAAATGAAATTCTCCCCATCAATAATATGGGCCATGGTTTTATTTATGAAACACATAGAATGCTCATACATGATTCATTCATGTAGAAAAAAATCAGCAAAACAAGAAAACTTTGATGCTGCCATCTTATTAAGGACTTACCCGCATCATAAAACTCTCACCTCCTGCTAAGTGGTCTCTGAGCCGAGTTTCTGGCCCTGGCACGGAGCCTTTATTTTAGTGAACATCATAAAAATTATTGACTTTTTCAGTAGAAATGGAACTTGTTTTGAGAAATAACAAAGAGACACATTGTCTACATGCATTGAAAGGTCCTGCTGTACCCCATGAATATGTACAATTAGTATTTCAATTCAAAAAATTTTATATTAAAATTTAAAACAACAAAACCAATTCAAAAATTTTACACTAGAGGAAACATTCTTTAAAAAAGAACTCGCAGACTACGTGTTTGGTCCAGCAGCTAAGCTACCAGTTGGGATACGCACATTCCACATCAGAGTGTGTGGGTTCAAGGACCAGCTCCATCGCTATCTCCATCTTCCTGCTAATGCAGATCCTAGCAAGCAGTGGTGATGGTACAAGTGATGGATTCCTGCCACCTACACGGGAGACCTGGACTGAGTTCCCAATTCTTGGCTTCAACCTGGCCCAGCATCAGGCATCTGTGGCCCTTGTGGGCATTTGGGGAGTGGATCAGCAGAAGGGAGCTCTCTCTCTCTCTCTTGGACTCTCAAATAAATAAAAATCCCTCTGCACATCTGTTTACTATTAAGAACCCAATTCTTCTGTTCACCCCCAAATTCGTGGCAGCAGCCAGCAGGCTTCATTGCAATGTATTTCCTTGTTCTTCTGCAAAATATTTCACCAAAGTTCTAATTTCACGATTGCTGTGGTTTATTTTCTCAATGTGTGTAAAGGGAAAAGGAAGAGCGTGGTGGCTTCCCTGTTAAGCAAGCCTACAGCACACTGAGTAGCCACCTATAGGTTGTGCTAGACCCAACAGCCCCTGCTTTGGTCCATGAAGACGGTACTGCAGAATACAGTTGTCAAAAGAGGCTCTGGGGAACCCAACTATGTCTCAACTCTCCACCCTCTCTGTCTTGGACAACCTGTGTCTCAGTAATAAAGAACAACTAAAACTATTCCATGCAAGTTATCTCCATAGAACCCAATATGCAAAGAATGACAAGAGTGACAACTTAAAGTTTGTATTTTACTGATTTTTTTAAAGATTTATTTATTTATTTATTTATTTGAAAGAGTTACACAGAGAGAGAAGGAGAAGCAGAGAAAGGTCTTCCATCCGCTGCTTCACTCCCAAAGGGCCACAACGGCCAGAGCTGAGCTGATATCGAGCCAGGAGCTTCTTCTGGGTCTCCCATGCAGGTGCCCCTTGGGTGCCCCAAGGACTTGGGCCATCTTCCACTGCTTTTCCAGGCCACAGCAGAGAGCTGGATCGGAAGCGCAGCAGCTGGGACTTCAACAGGCACCCATAGGGATGCTGGCATTGCAGGCGCCGCTTTACCCACCAGGCCACAGTGCCGGTCCCTACTTGTTTTCATATCTGTGATCTTATTTGGTTGCCAAGGTAACCCTTTGAGGTAAAAATAAATTGCAGAGAATAAATCCATTTTACCCATTGACAGAGAAGAAAATAAAGATATAATTAACTGATAACAAAGATGGAATTCATATTTAGACACACCCTGTTAGTGTCTGTCTTCTTTTAACTAGGCTTTTTCTGTATAACAGTCTGCACCTTTCAACTTACGTTTTTGTTGTTGTTGAGGATTATTTGTGTTAGCTTTTACGAATTTCTCCTTCTTAAATATAGGGACCATGGTTTAGGCATCTTTATATTCAGTATAGTGTCTAGTGCTAAGAAAACCCCAAGGAAAAGATATGGGATTGAAATAAACAATCTCACAGTCATACGTCCATTGTCTTCTTGGATCTCCATGGTCCCTGCATTTATCCCATAAGACTCAAGCCTAAAAAGACCCATGGTGGTTCAGAGGATATTAAAATCCAAACTACTCTTGTACATATCCAAAGAAGAGGGGTGTCTGCTAAGTTTAAAGTTTAACACCCAAAGACGTAACAGCTAGTCGCTGCAAGAATTGTAAGACATTGGCTGTAGGTCTTGATGGGAGCAGGTAGTCACGGATCCACAGGGCTGCAGCTTTCTTGAGTTTCACACACACACACACACACACACACACACACACTTGGGTTGGGGTCACTTCCCAAGACTCTGAGGTTTCTTTTTAGTTTTTTTGGAGGCTGCAGCCCAGAGCTGTAGTCCTGGGGGTCTTCTGGAGGTCCTGTCTGCTTGTCCCCTGAGCTGGGCTTTTCCTCTACTGGCTACCCTGGTCCCCATACCAACACCTCTCCCACTGCTCTGGAGTTGTAGGCCATTGACCTTGGCCAGGATGGGAGTTGAATTTGGACAGCCAAGCCTTCCCTTTCCTGTTGCACATTTCAGTTGTCCATGGCTTTCACGTCACCCTGGTAGAGTAGTGGTGTTAGTTAGCTCTTTGCTTCTTCTCCTAAAGGAATCTGGGAGTATTGACTGCTGGCTTTGCACTGAAAACACCTGGCCTGGTGCCGCCCTGCTGATGGAACTGCAAACCCCAGCCCTTTGGGAGGACAATGGGATAACCGCCATTCTAGCCAGACTCCAGGAAATCTACAGAGGGAAGTCATTTATCCCATTTAAAATCTACTGCAAAAGGGTCATCTTTTCTCCTGGAAAACCTAAAACGCATTCAAAAATGTCTTCCTTCGAGCAATTCTCAGCTCTGAATGCACAATGAGAATCATGTGGGAAGCTTTTGAAATTACCAGTAAGTGAACTCCTCCAGCCAGACCACTTAAATCAGAATCTCAGAGTGGTGGTGGCCCTCGGCCCTTCTTTGAATAGCATTAACTTCCTAAAGCAGTGGTTCTCAAATGTCAGTGGGCATCAAACTGACCTCAAAGACTTGTTGAAAACACAGACAGTTGGGTCTCACCCCTGGATCTTGCGATTCACTCCGTCTTGAGTGGGCCTCAGATCTGCATTTCTAACCAGCTCCCACCCCACCCCTGCTGTTACACTGATGCAGCTGGTCTGGAGGCCACACCTTGAAACTCACCGTGGACCTGCCCCTGCTCCACCCCCGCTCTGCGGCTGTTTTTGTTCTTCTGACTCTGTGGTGGCTGAGAAGGTGAAGATCTGGAGGCAGAGGGAGCGAGAGCTAGCGAGGTTAAGTGACGATGCCCGCACCCTTCCACTACCCGCGGTCTGAGTTCATTCACCTTCGTGAGTTGGGTGAAGGCAGCTGGCTACCACCCAGGCCATCTCCTCTGTCCAACAAGAGTGCACCGTGATTTTCAGATAGGAACCCGTCTCACACTTGGGCTCCTAAGCAGCCAATCTCTAAAGAAAAGATAGATGAGTCTTTGGCTGCTGTTGAGAGTGATTAAGAGCAGTGGTGAAATCTTCCCTAGAAAGACCAGGACCCACCCGAACTGTGAGTGTTCAGGACTCTCTTGGAAGCACGAGCCCTCACGAAATGAATCAGACTACTGGGCAAGACAATGTACTCACAAGAATAGCCAGAGGACAGGGCCAGCTTTATCTCCCCCTTGTGCTGCCTGGAGTGCTAGTGCGTCAGGGGAGGGGAGGGTGCAGGTCTGTGGGACAGTTCTTGATTGGTTCCTCTTGCCCAGGGAGGGCTGCAATGACTCACTTCCTCTCTTGTTGCTTCCTGGACTCTGGGAGAAGGAAGGAGAGGGTGAGGGAAACACTCTGGGATGTTGCAAGGAGCCACACAATGGCAGGGCTGGCTGCACTGGGCTTGGAGAGAGCAGTTACTGACGAGGCCAATTCCACCCAGCAAGGTCAGCACCCCCGTGGCTAGGGCTTGACCATACAGTGGGTTTCTGCCGACCTCTGTGGGATTATCACAAGCAATATTAATGAGCAAACGGTCTAACCAGTGACCAGAAGGAAACTGGCTGTTTTCTGGTCGTCTCCTCCTCAGTTAAGACCAAGAGTAAGCTGTCTTAACCTCTCATCAAACTGGTCCTTAGCTGAGTAGACCGGGAAGGTCAAATCTGTTGTTCACAATATTCTGAATCCAAATCTTAGAATCTTCCATGCTCTGCCTCTTGCAAACTTCCAGGAGATGAAAAAGCTGTTCTTCCGTCTACCCTGTAGGGGCTGCTTGGTAAGAAAGACAAAGACACAGACATACTCAGCCTGCACCAGTGAGGGTTTCGCTCATTTAAGCTGCAGATGAGTCACTGGGAGCTTGGTAAAATGCAGGTTGATTCAGGGTGTCCTTGAGGAGGGCCTGAGACTGCATTTCCAGCGAGCTCCTTGGCGATGCCTGTGCTCCAAGCAACTCTTTGAAGAAGGACCTGGTCCACCTGAACAGGTGCTCTAGGTCACCACTGGTTGGAACCTCGCCGGGAAGCGCAGGGAGACTCACTGCATTTTTTTTCTTTCTACCTAAGTCGCAAACCCAGCAGTTATGTTGGAAAAAGAGAAAAATGGTGCCAAATAAAAATTTAAGCTTCTACATGGCAAAAAATACTATCAACAAGAGAGGAAAATATTTGCTCATGAAAAGTCATTTTCTTTAATGTTGAAACATGTTTTCATATCGGCGAGAAAGTGACCATCAAGTCAATACAAAGATCAAATGACAGGTACAAATAATTCATGACCCGAGGAAGGAGGGCTCTTGTAGGAATCCAGACTCAATGTCACTCATAATTAAGGAAATAAAATAAATAGCACTGGGATCCTCTTTTGTCAAAATTGTTTATTTTTTTTTAAATGTGGATGAGAGGTGTAGTTGTGAACTGTTGCAATGAAACTGATAGACATTTAAAATCCACATGCCTTTTGATCCCATCAAGGCCATTTCAAAGAATTGATCCTAAGGATACATTTGCATGCATACATGAAGTTGAATACCCACAGAAGATGGACTGAAACAGCATTGCTTTTCATTGCGAATTATCAAAACATCTGATAATTGCACATGAAATTAATCGGCTTGCTTATGGACTAACTAAATTATTATACTTCCCTACAACTGAATGTAAGGCAGCCACTCGAAGGACCGAGTTCTTATTGTTGATATGAAAATAAACCCAAGAACTTGATCAAAATTAAAAACTCTTGCTCCATGATAGACTCTATTAAGCAGATAAAAAGACAAGGCTGTGGACTGGGAGAAAATATTTACAAAACTAAATAAATAAAACCCCTGACAAAGGCTTCATATCTGGAATACAGAAAGAACTCTCATCAGAGTGTTTGGGTTTGAGTCCCAGCTCTGCTTCCAGTTCCAGTTTCCTGCTAATGTGCACTCTGAGAGAGCAATGATTGCTCACCTAGTAGGGTTCCTGTCCCCGATGTTGGAGACCCAGATGGCATTCTGGGCTCCTGGCCAGCTGTTGAAGCACTTGAGTGTGAATCAGAATACGGGAGATTGTGTGTGTGTGTGTGTGTGTGTGTGTCTTTGTATGTCTCTAGCTTTCAAATAAAAATAACTCAATTCAAAAATCCTATTATAAGCAAAAGACATGAAGAGATGTTTCACATTTGAGGCTGCAAGGACCAAACAAGCACAGGAAAAGATGGCAACACAGCTAATAGAAAACTATAAAATAAGACCACAACGAGCTGCAACAACAAAAATTGATGACACCAAATACAGATGAAATTTGGGAATGCAAAATGGTACACTTGGGGAAAGAATTTGGCTGTTTGTTTTTAAGATTTTATTTATTTATTTGAGAGATAGAGTTACATACACAGAGAGGGAGAGACAGAGAGAAAGATCTTCCATCCACTGGTTCACTCCCCAGATGGCCGCAACAGTTGGAGCTGAGCTGAGCTGATCTGAAGCCAGGAGCCTGGAGCTTCTTCTGGGTCTCCCACGTGGGTGCAGTGGCCCAAGCACTTGGACCATCTTCTACTGCTTTATAAGGCCATAGTAGAGAGCTGGATCAGAAGAGGAGCAACTGGGACCCCATATGGGATGCCAGTGCTATAGGCAGAGACTTAGCCTACTACACCCCCAAGTTTGGTAGTTTTAAAAAAAAAACAGGGCCGGTGCTGTGGCGTAGTGTGTGAAGCTGCTGCCTGCAGTGCCGGCATCCCATATGGGCACTGGTTCAAGTCCCAGCTGCTCCAGTTCTGATCCAGCTCCCTGCTATGGCCTGGGAAAGCAGCAGAAGATGGTCCAAGTCCTTGGGCCCCTGCAGCCATGTGGGAGACCTGGAGGAAGCTCCTGGCTCCTGGCTCCTGGCTTCAGATGGGCCCAGCTCTGGCTGTTGTGACCATCTGAGGAGTGAACCAGCGGATGGAAGATATCTCTGTCTCTCTTGGCCTCTGCCTCTCTGTAACTCTGCCTTTCAAATAAATAATCTTAAAAAAAAAAAAAAAAAAAAAAAAAAACAATGGTCTGGAGGAATGAAAACTTAATGTCTACCCAGAAGCCAGCAAATGATGATTTTTGGCAGCCTTCTTCATAATAGCTGAAAATTAGAAACAACCAGAGTTTCCCTCCATAGGTGAATTATTAAACCAGGGTCCACTCGGACCATGGAATGCTACTCAGCGATGAAAACAGATGAACAACTGATATGTGCATAATTGGATAGATCTCAAAGTCAGTATGCAAAGTGAAGAAAAATCTTGGGAAGTCACATACTGCTTGATTGCATTTGCTATCCTCTGGTGACAAAGCCATAGACACAGAAAAGAGGTTAGTGGCTTTCAGGCTTTAGAGAAGGTGGGAGGTTTCGGGGAGGAAGGCAGGTGTAACAGCGCAAGGCTAGCACAAGGGAGAGCTTTGTGATGGATAAGTTGAGATCGCAGTGGTGGTACATGAAGCCACGCATGTGAGAAAGCAGCATAAAACAATACACAGCCATTGCACCAATGCCAATTTCTTAATATGGACCTGCCATAATTATTTGGGGAAATTGGGTGACAAGGACACGGGTCTTCTCTGTATTGTTTTTGCAACTTCATACGAATATATAACCATTTTTAAATAAGAGTTTTTTTAAAAAAAAAAAAAAACAGCCAAGCACTCATGTTAAATTTAACATTTGGGGCCGGCGCCGCGGCTCACTAGGCTAATCCTCCGCCTAGCGGCGCCGGCACACCGGGTTCTAGTCCCGGTTGGGGCACCGGATTCTGTCCCGGTTGCCCCTCTTCCAGGCCAGCCCTCTGCTGTGGCCAGGGAGTGCAGTGGAGGATGGCCCAGGTGCTTGGGCCCTGCACCCCATGGGAGACCAGGAAAAGCACCTGGCTCCTGGCTCCTGCCATCGGATCAGCGCGGTGTGCCGGCCGCAGCGCGCCGGCCGCGGCAGCCATTGGAGGGTGAACCAACGGCAAAAGGAAGACCTTTCTCTCTGTCTCTCTCTCTCACTGTCCACTCTGCCTGTCAAAAAAAAAAAAAAAAAAATTTAACATTTGGTTTGTGTATTGAAAATGAAAATCCCTAGGAAAACTAAATGACACAAGGAGCAAGGTCAACAATGATATATACAATGTCCTCCTATTTATTTATTTTCAAAAGGCTCTATGTGTAAGTATGTACAAGGGAGTTTCCAAGAGTTCATGGAAAAGGGGTTTTAAAATAATGAACATTTTCTGTGGACTTTTTGAAGAGTCCCCATATGTATGCTTCTAAATGATGGGAAAGAAAGCAACAGCAGAGGTCACTCGTGGGGGACAGGTTGAGAGAACACGGAGCCTAAGACCCTTAAGGAGCAGGAGGACTCTACTGACCATTGCACAGGCTCGCACAGGCCCAGGGCCAGGGAACTCGGAGCTGCTGGGCCCTGGCAGCAAGCGCTCCATAAATGCCAAGGGTTATCTTTTTGTTCTTCCTTACATTTTTATCTATCATGCAAAAAAGGTTTGTGGTAATGATGGATTAAGTTATTTATTGTAACCCTTCTGCTGAAAAACAGGCTAAAATGGGTTACAATGTTGTCAACCCATCAAATATACTATGGAATATTATCTTTTTATTGTTTTTTAATATTTATTTGAAAGTCAGAATTACAAAGAGAGGGAGAGACAGAGATGTTTCATCTGCTGGTTCACTCCCCAGTTGCAAGGCTGGAGTGAAATCAGGAGCCTGGAACTTCATCCAGGTCTCCCACATGGGTGGCAGGGACCCAAGCACTTGGGCCATCGTCCACTGCTTTTCCCAGGCCATTAGCAGAGAGCTGGATCAGAAGTGGAGCAGCCAGGACTCGAACCGGTGCCCATATGGGATGCCGGCATTGTAGGCAGCTGCTTTGCCTACTGCTCCACAGCACTGGCTCCGTGGTATATCATCTTAAACACCTGTTCAACTACCCAAATGTCTCCCAGGCCAGGCAGGAAAGGTGAATGCGAGGATTGGGCCAGGCGTATTATTTAGAGGAAAGAGGAAGTGCAAAGATGAGAGCAAAATGGAAAGATTGCTCAGGCAAAGCACGACAGTTCCAACGTTGACAAGACATGGCCTGGGCCCAACACATCTCTGTGCGCCAGCCCCCTGCAGCGACCCGTGCGTGTTTGCTGGCTGAGGCAGCCTGTTCCACCGCACACAGGTCTGCTTGCTAGACGTTCTGCATGCTGAGCTGATGGTTACCTTTGGTAATTTCCCCCTACAGATCTAGTTCTGAGCCTTCCCTTAACCGACCTGGTCCCATAGAACTCCACGTCTTGCTGCCGTCTGCCCAGAACTGGCATTTATTTAATAAATGCTCAAAGCTAGGCAGGCAAAGT